TCTAAACATTCCAGTCAAAATATTGTCAATTTTCTTTTGCCATAACGTAGAACAGCTACCATGAATGGTTACTTCATAGCGAAGAACACTGTATGCCAAAGCATTAATGACCATCTTTTTAACATATTGTGGAACAAGTGATCTCATATTATGAAGTAGACAGAAAACTCGTCTAAGCTTTTTACATACAGTTCCCATGTGCGCATTCCATGAAAAGTCACTATCGAATTCAATTCCTAGATATCTCACATGGTCCACATAACCCACTGGAGTGCATTTACACGAGGGATAAATTGATGAATGTAAAAATAGGGGCGTATCTGTTATAACAACTTTTAACGGATTCCGCAAACACACCAGACGTGTCTTTGTGTTGTTAATTTTTAAGTCATTTTGCTAAAACCATTTAATCAAATGTGTGTTTTCACGTAGGAGAAGAAAATTGATTTTTTCGTATCCTATATGACGTGAAAAAAGTACAGTATCGTCAGCATACTGATATAGTTTGCAGCTAAGTATTGAATTTGACATATCATTGACAAAGACATTAAATAGTAACGGAGACAAGAGAGATCCTTGTGGAACTCCGGATTTCAAGGCGAGCTTTGAACTTCTTTTGGGACCTATATGAAGTTGTTGAGATCGTCCAGTTAAATAATCTTTTAGTAGCTCCAGAAATGGACCTCGGAAGCCAATATAATAAAGCTTTTTGAATAGAATGCTGTGGTTTGTTCACACGGTCGAATGCCTTTGAAACATCCACAAAAAGGGCACATACGACCTAATTTTTTTTCGAATGCGTAATGTAATTCAGATGCCAAACCATATTGATTATTGGATATGATTTCAATCTTTTTAAGAAACTGACTCATTATTTGGAATAAATGCTTGTCTAAAATTTGACTTATACAAGACAAAATCGAGATGGGACGTCAATTTTCGACCTTACGACGATCTCCTCCTTTATGAAGAGGTTTAACTTTTGCATTTTTCAGGTTATTAGGGATTTTTCTTTGTGCAATCAAACCATTTAACATATGCAGAAGGACATCTTTAATTGCATCTAACTTGCGGATGAGGACATTTGCTCTGATATTATCAACTCCAGGAGATTTTCTAGGTTTAAAACTAAACAGCAGATTTCTCAGATCATATTCTGATAATTCAGGAAGGAAAGCTGACGCCATGTTCGAATCCCTGGAGTGAATTGAATAGGCAACACCATTCTGCGGAACGCCCGAAAACTGTGCAAAAGTTGCATAAAATTTGTCAACAACTGAGCATCTAATTGGGTCAAATGCTTTTTCAAGCTCCTCATCTACTGAATTTAAAGGCTTCTTTCCACGGAGTTGGTTGAGTAGAGATTAAGTTTTTGCTGCATTTGATCTTGCACGATAAAATTCATTTTGAATGGTTCCTTTTGGTGACCCGGAGAAGCGCATTTGCACGATTACGTGCGCAACAATATTCTGTTTTCAGTTGTGCATTTTGGGGAGAACGCCTGCATTTTCTCCACAAAGTATCCTTATCTTGAATGACTCGTAGAATATCTGCATTCAACTAGACATACTCCTCACGGCGTTGCCGAATTGTAAGAACTTTTTGGAATCTTCAATAAGAGAATTCCAACTTAAATGAAAATTAGAGTAGACTTCGTCGTAGTTTACGTTCTGTAACAAATCTTGCCACTGGTAAGCCGAAACCAGTTTGTCAATTTTTTTTTTCATCTACAATCTCGACCTGCTTTGTTTTAGGACTTGTTTGTGTGATTGTCGCCTCACAAATTACTTGACACGCTGTGAAATAATGATCCGCCAGTTTTTGCAATTTTACTGCTGACGTAATAATACAAGATGACGCACAAAAATGAATATGATCTATGCATGATCATACTATTTTATCTGTCATGTATTCTTCCCATGTTTGCGAGTTAATGACGTTCCCAAATCCTACGTTGGATAGGACATTGAGATAGTCGCAGACAATTGAACTTAAATTTTCAAAGAATCGATATTAAAATACCCTACAAGGCAAATCTTTTCTATTGATCAGAGTCCCGCTAGTACTGTTTTTAGCTCGTTTACGAAAAGAGTCGGATTTCTGGAAGGGGGCCTGTAAAACGCCAACAGAGACCAGGAGGAGTTTTTGTTACCCAGGTTCAGAGAAAGTGACTCTGAATAAGCAAAATAAGTATCGGTAACCTCACTTAGCCAAACTTCCCTAACTAGTATTCCTATTCCACCACCCCTGGCGCCTTATCGCGTGCGAAAGAAATTTGTGTACCCCGAAAGAAAAAGAAAGTATGACACAGGTTATCATCGACGTTAATTTCAGTTAAAACCAAGACATCAAAATCTGTGCAACTATTTTAACGAGTGCTGAGAACTGATCCCAGTATTTTCTTAGACTTCTGATATTTACATGCCAGAAGGTAATCGTCTCACCAGAATGAGGACATATCACTTCACGAAAAGATGACAAGTCGGGAAATTAAAAAAAAACGTTCTTCCATGACTCTGGACCATCTTGTCAATGTCACGCTATTGATGCGAATGACCGGAGATCCTTCCTTCTTCTTTGCGAAAATCTTTGCGTTTTTTACCCACACGAACTGATATTGCTTTTCCTTGCCTCTAGATCTAGCCTTCCAAAAAAGTTCCTTGTTGATGCGAGTGAGGTTTTCGTTAAAGTATAGAATAGGGAAGCCGGGCAGATATCTCAATTTGCCCCGCGATGCCATCCATGTCTCTTTGTTGGCGACGGAATTAAACCTTACAATCACTGGAGGAACGAAATTTGAATCCTTCTTCGAAAGGCGATGAACCGTAATTATGTCAGAGGGTTGAAAGTCCTTAATGTTTAGGCTAGAAGCCAGGTTGTCAACCGAATCCCGGACGCTCTCGGTTGGTTTGTAAGGTAGTCCGCGGATTTTCATGTCACTTAATCGGCTGTACTGCTCGGAGTCATTCAGCTCTGCCTGTCATTGGCGTATTTCAGACTTCTGCTCGGTTACTGCTGATGTCAGAACGCGTACCTCACTTTTCATGTCTTTTATTTCACTAACATTGACTTTTACCTGCGCCAGCAATGAATCGTATTGCCCGGAAAAGAACTCCAACGATTTCTCGAGGCCCCTCATCGTCTCATTTAACGTTTCGACAACCACTTTCACTGTTAATAAATCGTTCTAATTATAATAATAATAATAATAATAATAATAATAATAATAATAATAATAATAATAATATTAATGATCAATCTTTATTATCCAGTGCCCAGGAACAACATTGAGGTCTTGGTGCTGGTACACTGGTTGATAAAAAAAATACATCATACACATCTCCGCAGAAAATAAGATACATTTTAAGCATAATACTAGGCTCTGTAAGAGTAATTAGTAGAATGAAATAAAAGCGAGGCAGTAACAGTAGACACGGAACACAAGACCGTAGGACAAGTGCACCACCAGAAAGCACGCCATAGAGATGACGAAATTCAGACATAACAGAGCCATTCAGCAATGCTCATCCTGCAAGGGCAAGTTTTTAATAGAAAGGACAAACTTCCTGTAGCAAGGGTGGAAAATACCAAGTTTTTCAGAGTAATGATTCAAACGCTCTGCCATTCTCACAATTGGGTTTACCGGACTAAACGTTCTAGAAACATAAAACGATGACAGAAGACGAGTAGGCACACGTGGGACCCTAAGGCACAGTTCAGATAACCGGCTCGGAGAATTGACAAGTCCATGCAGCGTTTTAAACAAAAACAGTAAGTCCGCGTTCTCCGGACGCCGGTGCAAGCTAAGCAAGCCAACACGCTCTAACGCAGACCATATGTTATACAGTGAACATCCTGCTTTATGTAGCGATGTCTAAAGATAGAAACAAACTTCTTTTGCACACGTTTGATCTCCAAGAAGTGACGTTTAGAAATAATAATAATAATAATAATTCTTTGTTTGTATCATGCCCCAGAACAACCTATTGGTTACAGTGTGGTGGCACATTAAAGTTAAAAAGGAAAAAAACAACAACAGGAAACAGTACACAATTTGAAACGACATATGCTCTCGAAATTGAAATTTCTCACAAAACAGATACCACAAATATGCATGTCAAGTAGTCGGGTGAACGCAGAAAAATTAAAAAAAAAAAAAACGTCTACACGAGTCGGAAATTCATTTAAACAAATTTGCATTCGAGCCAAAGCCAAAGTCTCGTTTGAATAAATGTATAAAAAACACCCGAGTTTCTAACGACACGGGCCGGTACATGAAAGTTTAAAGACAATACAAGATTGCGATCTATTTGATCGTGAACCACTTTGTATAAAAATATAATGTCACGAGCAATTTTTCTTTTACAGGTTTTGTTGTGAATGTTCTCTAGGAATGTATTCATAACCATAACTTTTTCTAGAAAAATATCTATCATAAACAAGCCGTATAAATCGCTTATGAACTACTTATACTTGTGCAGCGTCGGTTATTGTTAACGAATTTCGGACTGAACTACAAAACTCGAGTTCAACTCGTACTAGGGAACAAAACAATCGAACTACGCACATTATATTTGTAAAATCATGCGTCAAACGCGATATCATTCTCATTGTTCCGAATGTAGAAGCAACAGTTCGTGTAACATGATATGAAAAGGTAAAGGCCCGATCACACTTTTGTGACCGAGTACGACTGAGAGACACTGGGCATTGTGGCGCCATCTATGCGGTGACCCTGGAGCTGCATTTCACAAGAGCGAAGGTTTTGGGGGATTTCCGAGGTCAAATGTGCGTAATACCCATAGAAAGGCTGGTTTATAACATTGATAAAAGTTTTTCGAGCCAAGAAAGAAAGGATAATGCGCGAGAAATAAAAAAAAAAAAATATGCCGGACCGCCGAGTTTACACTGCTTCCCAATAGATGGCGACAGTGTGTTCTCTGGTTTAAGAAGTTTTAAGGAACTCAGGTTTAAGAGGTTGCAAGAGTGTGAACGGGCCTTTTGATTAGTATCAAAATAAACACCAAGGTCACGAACTTGTTGTACACGTTCTATAGTAGAATTGGTGATAAAATATTAATGTAAAACTCTCGCGTTTTCTACACACGGACAGCAGGTCAGCTAGTGATCTTCACCTCATAAACCATTACGTAGTGTGAACCGTAGTCTTCATGATTACTTAAAGCAACTAATGGAAGACCAGTGATTACTGCTGAGAAACTTCGGTGGGAGTATCATATCAGGGATTTTGAGTCTTTAGGACCCCAAGGAAGCCATGCCAATTCCAAATTTTGAATGTGTGTTCTCACACACTCACAGGAATTTTTTTTAAATATTTTTTCTCAGTTTTGTGTTTCTCTGCCTACCGCAATAGTTGTGCTTCACGAGCAGCGCCCTTCAAAGCTTGTGTAATGTGCGTCGACACCAAGTCAACCCAAAAGAGCCTAAGCGGTCCCGGAAGCAGATGACCAAGAACCATTCCCACTGTGCCCACCGTGTCCCCTAATCCTTCGAGCTCCAGACTCACTCGCTCCAGCAGCACCGGCACGACCGGTTCAAGCGTGTTTCCTGCCGGAGTTACGGTTATGATTCCCTCAAATCTGACTAGGCGTGCGACCGTGCCGATGGTTCCAGAAGATCCGGCGCAAAGTCTCCAGGGAACGGTCATCCGAATCGGAGACGTCGAACGCAGGCTGTACAGGATGACCCTTTGGTTGTCCCTACAGAATGACTGGTATGGGCGATCCGGTTGAAGGCCATCAAGGCCTGTGAAGGTGGCGTTCCCTAGGAACACACCCGGCAAAAACTCGAAGTTTTCCTTCTCGTGAAGCGAGCCGAGGTGTCTTTCTGGAAGACTGTAGAACATCGTGTCTAACTTCGCCTCCCAATCGCTTCCGGGCTGGGGACATCGCCCTAGAAAGTAATGAACAAATCAAGGGTACGACACTTTTCTGTAGTCTGTTTAACCGTACACCCAGGTGCTTCTTTATAATCTACCAATATCTCTTCAGAACACCAAGTATTTCTCTTTCTTTAGTTTGCTGAACCCATGTGAAGGGCTATTTGTATCATGGTAATGTAGTTGCAGCGTCAGTTGAACAGACTGATATCTCGATCTATAAGCACTCCAATTCGCTTTAGTTTTTGCTCTTCGCCGTTCAAGCGGCGTCTCCGTTGAACCACGATACATGCGGCTTTTCTCTCTGGCTGAACAATAAGGGTCAACACATGATTGGTGTCCATGTGCATCGCAGTTTAGTATGCATCTCAGGCGTATCAGGAAGTGTAAGAAACACGCATTCCCAGAAATGGCGTTTTTTTGCCCGCTTTTTGTAATATGGCGAGACGTCATGCCCTGTGCCACAGCGCAAATTGTTCGCTTTAAATATAAACTCATTTTCAGCCTCGTCATTCGCCGAGCTCTCTCCATAGATTACAGCTATTGACCTTCCCAACTGCTTTGTGGTAAAGAGGACGCTCCAAGATTCTTAGAGTATTTTAACTCTAGTCAGTTCTGACTAGTTGAAAATACCAGTGTATATTCCAGCTTCTGTTAGGTTTTGTGATTGACCACACGATGTGCTCAGTTCCGCTCAGTTCTAGGTAGACGATCCTTTTGTAAGTTGAAAATTACAACAATAATTAGCAGTTTTAACGTAAGTTTTTATTTTCTCTTGAGAATGCGACTAAGATTTCTTGGTGGAATTGTTGCTAAGCATTCACCATTTACATAAAACTCTTTTACCATTATAGACTTTTTCTATAATTTTTTGAAAGGCAACTTGACTTACCAGTAGGGGCAACTCGTAGTGCTGAACTCGTCAAAAAGACGAGTAGAGCCACGAGGACTTGGACCAAAGTCGCCATCACAGGTTTCGAAGATAGAGTAGTCTGTAAATATATACTCGCACATTTTCTTATCAAGAATAGAGTGGTTCTGAATACATGTAAAATATTTTCTTGTCTGTATTGTTTCACTATATATAAAATAAATTTAATTTCAGGCAAACCTAGAGTTCTGCATTCGCCTAACTCACGGCCTTTATTATCAGCTGCAAAAAGCGCACCTGCACAATATTTAATAATTCCAAGAGATGAATTTCAAGGTAATCTTGTTTATAGGAAATCAGTTTTAAACAGAAAACTATTCAAGTCGAATATTCTGTTTTTGGCATACACGCGACAGTTATCTTTACTGTAACAAATCTGGGGCGTTTGCTTTCCCGCAAATAACTTGGAAGAGCCAATCGCTGCACTCCGCAGAAGGAGTATGAATTATGAGAAAGCTGACATAACGTTTACACCTATAAAAAAGTATGTGGTGTGGCCCTGGCCATAATGTTTGACCATGATCCGTGACGTAGCGCAGACTGTCTTTTTTACCTACGCTTCTGCGCAGGTAAAAATCATACCACAGGTGCTCCCTACTGAAATAGTCATAAACTCAAAAACTTTATTTAAAAAGTGCATAGGAAGTTTGATGGCGATTATGCACGAGTTAGGTTTTGTAGTTTATTGGCTGGACCATTCATTAATGGCATGGAAATGTATCACACTTGTATTCAGCTTTGCGAATCGATGGAGTAGCGCAAATGACATTAGAACAAAAATAAGGGTGCCGACATTATTTTTTATTGCGTGAAATTGTTACAATAATTTTCTAAATATAGATATTTTGGGGTTACTTTCAATACACATTGGCAGTTAATGAGCAAACGGTAAGGCTACGGTAAACCGCCATCGAGATATTAGAGATAAACATACAGTTTGAATGTCACTGGTGCCCAAAACAGACACGCGTCAGTTTGGATCTGCGCAATATTCATTACTCAGGCATCACAATTTTTTTTTTTAATTTTCTGACGATTTTGTTTAATTGTTCAGCTCTGTTGAAGCACGACAGATTCCATGTGCAGCTCGGTTTAGCTTGAGTCCTTCTTTACCCAACCCGAACACGGTATACATATTTCACTTCAAAACATTTATTTTAGTATTTTAAAGACTGTTTTAAACACTATAAACACCGTGTCCCTACTTGCAATAATCAACGTTATGAACTCACGTTTTAAAAGAGGTTCTGCGATGAAAGGCTCCAGTGCTTCCAATCTATACGAACAGCTAAGGGTCCGAAGACGCAAATACGGAGCATTATAGAGTACGTCGGGTAGCCCAATTAATGTTATCCATAATCGGAAGTCCGCAGCGACCCCCGCAAAAAAATAAGGAAAGAAACAAGACGTCCGCTGGAAGCTTTTATCTACAATAACACATTGCCTCGTATCGCCACTGAAGCGCGCCCCACCCCCTTTAAAAACAAAAAAAGAAAAAGAAGTAAATATAGCATTTTTATGTTTGCGATTTGAGGAACCTAAATACTTGTTACGTTTTTTTGCCAGCTTACTGATGGCGGCCATCGTTTTTCTGCCAGCTCACAGCAAACATACACAAAACTAAACACGTTATGATTCATATACCAAAATAATTAAATCTATCGTGCTGAATTGGTCCTCTGTTGAGAGGTTCGATCGGGCTTCGGGATAGCTACTTAAGGGGAGCATATATAAGGCCAACTATTGAAACGAAGTTTTAATGGTAATACACTTCATACTCCCGAGTATTTATGTCTTGGGAAAAAAAACGAAAAACTATTAAACAAATTGTGGAATTTTTTTTTCGGTGTCTATAATATTAAAAACGTAAAATTTCAGCATAACTCCCTTTTCGTTTAACCAAATCCATCACAGTAACACATATGTGTTGAACGGCATTGCCTAGCTGAGTGTCTAAAACAATTTAAAAGGATTGTTTTGAACATTGAGCTTGTGGTAGGGTTGCCTTGCTGCATGCCCATCCGGGAGGAACAACACAAAGCCGGGGTTTCCATTACAAGACACTACATTTATTAGCGTAACAGGAATCGGTTGTTAGTATTGAAGTATAACATTGCCGTGGCGTTCGATCTACACTCTTCCGTGACCTTGGTTTATCTCCCCTTGTTCTGTGGGCGTGTCCCCCTTTTACAGGTTCTCGCGCCTATTTTTCATGCGCAGTTGTGCGCTTCGGACTGTGTCCTTTTTGGGCATTCGGTAACGGCCCCTGGGCGTGGTGTCCGACCCTTGCTCCCTCAAATTACCTTATCAAAAGCAGTCTTGCGTAGTATTCTGAAACTTGCATCGCGATACTGCAACTTGTTACTTTTTGGGTAACTTTTAAGTGTAACTGGTTACATTTTTTAAAATAATTGTAACGATACCTTAAATACCTTTTTGAAAAAGTATCGAAAACATATCTGCACATATACAGATACTTTTTCGCGAACAATTTAGCCTATTTTGTGAAGTCTACAGCGGGTCCGACCGTGTGCTGAGGTTGGGCCCCACATGAGACGCGACAAGATAAAACAAAAACTGAAAATGTTTTTCGTCGAAGCAAATTGCCTGCGCACAGGGCAGACGTTTTTCTTCTTCTGTTTTTTCCTTTTTCATCGTGCCTAAAAAGCGAATTTAGCATTTAATTTAGTTCAAGCTTTTTGTGCGTGGCTCTCTCGCCCAGTCTTCGCCCTTTCCGGCCTCATCAAAAACTCCCGCCTCTTGAGTCAAGCGACAGAACAAACTCCAGGCCAAAGCAACAACAGGCGAGAGAAGAAAGGGCAAGCACTAGAAAGGCTGGCGAGGAGGAGAGAAGCCTCCTCTGCGCTCTAACCTTCCTGGTGCTCTTCCTTTCTCACCTTACCCTCCAATGTCCTTCCTAGAGCACTATATAGCTCCTACGGAGCAGAGTAGCGCAATCCTTTGATCCGCGTGTTTCGCCGACAACATGGCCGACAGAGCAGCTCGGCGCGAGTCACGTGGTACTCAGGGTTCCAAGAGGCGGCCCGCTCTATGGGAGAATACATGAAGATCGACTCAACAGGGCTGATTAAAAAATAAACGCCGAGTTCACATTTTTCAAAACTAGTTTGTCGTGAAGTTGGTAAAGCACTAAGCACTTTATCAAAGTTTTAATAATATTGGATGAGTGTGAAAAGTTTACGAAGGCAATTTTCAACGCAATGGCGTTTGAAGCAGACGATTGTTTTACGCAGCGGAGATGAACTTTATGGATTGGCCGGAGCGGGTCACGTGAATGGTGTGACGTCGCCGCGTCGTCTGCCACATAATGCTGCTCAGGCAATTAAAAAAAAAATTAAGTTATTTCATGGCGCACAACTTAGCGCAAATTATTGTAAACTATTCCCTTATTATGTCAAAAACTATTGCCGTTCCATAGATCGCCAAAATAATCAGGAAGCAGCGATTTACTCCCGTTACCCATGCATTTGTGGCCGGAGTTGGAACCCCCGGGTGTTCGCCGCTAGTCGCCGAGAGACGGCGTTCTAGATTGCGGTACTCTGCTCCGAAGGTGCTATATAGTGCTCTAGTACTTCCTAGAGATCGCACTTTCTCTTTTCACCTGGGATGCCTTCGCCTGGACTGCACAAAACTAGTGACACGGAGTGCAGAGCCTCTGTCGTCGGTGCCACAGAGGCTCTGCACTCCGTGTCACGCGCACCGATCTCCTAGATGCCTGGGAGATCGGTGCGCGTGATTTGGGAAATTCGGTGGTGCTAGAGGTTGAAGAAGACAAAGTTATATAAAAAGAGTTGTCAGTCAGCGCGGTTTGTTTGAATTTTGCTTTATTTTTCGTGTGTAAGGTGTGCGTGTTGTTTGTAATAGTGCGCTGTGGTGTGTGTAATCATGTGCAACCAACTCGCCCAAGCTGCTACGTTAACAAGGGGCTAGCGTTTTTCCTAGATATCACTTTTTGGCAGATTATGATCATAAATACTGCTCCCACCCCCGCCAAACTTCCGTGGACGTAAAACACGTTCCCAGGTGTCCCGTTGTCATGTGACGCCGTGGAGTCGTGTCACGGGGTCACGTGACGTTACGTGGTAAACTTCGCCGCAAAATGTATGTAGAAAGATTTGTTTTTAAATTTGCGGTATAAGGATTTACGCTGCTTACCGCGATGTTACGTTTCTCAATAGGGAGTTGTAGTAGACCGTTTCCGCAGCCCGCTAAGCACCCGGATAGCGCTCCGTAATCCGCCACAAGACCTTGAACTATGCAGACAATGCTGGCGGCGCGCATGCGTAGCTGCGGCGTTTTCTTCAGGGATACTGTAGCGGAGAAGAAAAGCGATCTACTACAGCTCCCTATTAGCCGCGTGCACGACCGAAAGCGTCGCTGTGGTCGGCCTTCCACGATTGGCCCAAAAGTTGACTATGACGTCGGAAAGGGTATACCATCGACGGAAATAAGAGGAATGAAAGAACTTTAATTTCGACGGTGTTGGCAGTGTTGCTTTGAGAGCGCAATGATTTCAGGCTTCCACCATGCTATTTACAAACACCATCGAACTTGTTCGCAAGGTAATGACGTCACAAGGGGGAACCATAGGAGGGCGCCACCAAAACATCTCGCCGCTAATACTCCGCGACAACTTTTTTTGGCAATGCAGTGGAAGGTAGAGGCCGGCGTACCCTCTCCCATTTTGAGTATACGCACGCTCTCCTTCTCCCCCGTTTCCGGGGGGAGGAGGAGAGCCCGCGAACATTGTTCGCGGAAAAGTTGTCGCGGAGTATAATGACTCTGTACCTCCTTTATGGCGGTACATTTCGTCCGTGACGTGATATTTCTTTTCGACATCATTCCCCAGCCCCCCCCCCCCCCCCCCCCTCAAAGGAAAAAAACCAAATCGCGTTCTACGTTGGCAACAAACACAAACCTCGATGCTAAAACAAACAGAAACGGCAGACTAAGTTTTTCCAAGAACAGATATTTTTTCGCCTGCTGGCTGTTTCTCATCTACGTCTATATATATATATATATATATATATATATATATATATATATATATATATATATATATATATATATATATATATATATATATATATATATATTTTTTTTTTTTTACATTCTTAGGTTTAGTGTGCCGAAGGTTTATAAACATATTGTTAGGAAGATAAAACATAATAAATATGAACGTCTGGGAACATCGATTAGTGTTAACTTTTTCGTTCGAAGATGATTATGGCATGAAGTCAAAATATCGTAATGTCAGCGCTTGTTGCCTACGTCATTTGGAGCTTTGCGATAATTCCGCAACAGTGCTTAAAGGGTGACTTTTTTTTAGTTTTTTGATGTTTAGAGATATTGTTGCAGAAGTATTCTTATTTTTATGAAAAGAAATTGAGTCCGACGGAACCAAAGTGAGAAAAAACTAAATAATAATTAGGGGAGACTTCTTGCTATATAAAGTAGTTTTATTTCATTATTAAAAATTATAATTTTGCAATTTGTTTTAGAATCATGACTAGTATCAAGTCAAAAATAGTTTTAAGTGTCAATGTTTCACTTTAAAAGTTTCCGAAATTAATATCCGTATATATGTACACATCGCGACACTGTTAGCACGAACAGGACATCGGCGCATTTTCGCATTTTTCTCTAAATAGTATTAGCGAGCATAAAATTTTATTGTTTACATTAGAGAACTAAATGAGCTCTTTCCGTAGCAATAATAACTTGGATGACATCCCTTGGATGTCATCCAAGCAACACTGTTAGCGCGAACCGGCGATCGCCTGTTCGCGCTAACAGTGTCGCGCTCTTTACAACCGTATTGGATCCGAGAGTCGATTTCAAGTTGAAAACTGAGCGTAACTTTCTTTATCGCGTTGTGGATAGCGTAGAAAAACTACTGTTTGCCCAATAGGCGTGACAACGGAAGTTTGCGTCTTTTAAGTTTGATAAGCCTCAAGACGGTTTGTAGATCTTTTTTAAAATTTATATTAAAGTGTAAAAAACAAACAAAAAAACGTTGCTTCGAGTGATTGTAGGGCGTCTCTTAAGATGGTCGCGGTAAAACAATAAAATGGTTATATATTTTGTCACCATAACATTCAGCATTAAAAATAACGTAGAGCATTATTAAATTGTGCACATCCGCACTATTTTTTATTTTTTGAAGTAGAACATAAGTATAATTTAACCAATGAAAAGCAGAAATGCAAAGAAAATGACGAAACATGTAAAAATATTTTAGCGAGTAAAGAATAGAGCAGGCAGTGATGTTAAAACAAGTGCCATGCCGAACTTGATAAAATCTCGAGACATTTATCGTAATTTATTCATTCATAAATTCAATAATGTTACATATGTGCCCAAGCAGACAGAAATATGCTTGATATCAATTGATGTAGTATGTACAATGCTGTGATACATTCTAATTTCTTAGCACGCGTAACAAACTCGGTTGGGATCTTCGTACAAAAATAAAGTATGGAGAAAAAAAGTGTTGTAACAAATCAAGTTGATAGACCTCCAGCACTTGTAGACAATATTTCGCTATTCGATTGGACAGTATGAAAATTGAATCACTTAGTGTACTTTATTTAGTTAAAACATATAGTTCCGTTTTATGCGTTGTTCAGAAACCGTAGAATTTTATAAACGCTTAGACTGCAAATTTTCGTAACTCAAGCAAACACTAGAATGATTTTCTTAATGAAATTTCTGAACTTGGACCTTCAAATGCGAACCTTTTGGCACAGCGAGAAAAAAGCTTAAGTCTTATTTGAGCACGCAATTTGAATAAACTGCACTATAGTCACAAATGCAAGTATATGGCATTACCTAATCAGCTTCAACAGGTTGAACATATCGAGTGTCTGTATATACTATGTAATAGGAATGGAACTCTGGAGTGACATTTAATGCATTACATAAAATGTTTTTAAGGAACTAATTAACGTAGACAAAATAAATAAAATATGCACGTTTTGATAGGAAAATAAGTTATACTAAAACGGTGTTACGATGCGCATAAAACATTACATTCACGCTGACATGCAAAAATGAACCGATACACTCCATGGAAACAATAAATTATCTTGTAGAGCCCATATGGGGGGCGATAAAACATGACTATCAAAAATAGGAGTATCCTGACGATTCGCAGCAGTTGGATCCGCATTTTCTCATTGAGATTGTCATTACTTATAGCTTAACTGCTTTCCGCGTAAAGACTAAAGCGCTGCCGCAGTAGTTCTTGTAGAACATTCTTACAAACGAGACTTTTCCGCTCCATTGTCATATATTGACTTCTTGTCCTGCGGAGCGTTTTCGGGCCTTGGCTTGTCGAAGATCATCTTCTGTATGTGGAACGCAGGGCACTCGAAACATAGGAACAGCAGATACCCGAAAAAAATGCTGAAGCAGAATATTCCCAGAGAAGTCATAAGCTGAAAAAAAAAACATTATTTTTTTAGTACGTCAATGTATAACACTGCTTTTATTTGAGTATATGTCGGGTTTCAGGAAATAAAAAAATTCCCCCCAAGTAAAAAGAGTGGCGTATTTATGCAAAGCAGCGTACGAAGAGACATGCCATCAGGCGAAAGATTCCAAAAAAGTGAAGTTGTTAACCATAAAAAGACTCTTCCATATTTTTCAACACACAGTAAACATGAAGCTAACTGTTTTTTCATTTGATACCCACGCGTAATGACACTTGAAAATATTTAGTTTTAATTATCGTTTTGGTTCTTTTTTTCGCATAGTACTGCACAGCTTATATAAACTTTGTCCGAGTGAAGTTAATAGATCGGGTCGGCCATTTATATTTAACAGAGTATATCAACACTATTCGCAGTTTTAAATGTCACCATGCAAAGTTTTTAAAAAAAGTGTAATTATAAGATTACACTTTAATTGATTATACTTTATTTTGTTACGCTGGTTTTAGCGGATATCGAGCACATCAAAGTTGTTCAAAATAGAAATTTTCAGAACAAGTGCTGTCGAATGAATTCAATGAGGTCTTAATATTTCAATGCTTATTTATATTTTCCTGTAAGATTCAATGTAACGTTTGTGCGATCAGATAAAAATATTCATTCGCAGCTATTCAGAAATTACATTGCGACAGATTTCAACAAGCTCGTACTTGTGATAATGTATAACAAAACAGTTTACAAAACTAACATTTAAGTATTAAAAGAGATAGTTGTTGACAATTTGACAATGAACAAAACATGCATATACATCTTAATGCTTTATTAATACTAACAATAAAACATGTTGTCATATGTTTTGCATTAAAATTGATGCTTTTTTTAAACTAGAAAAGACCCGAACAGGTGTTCCTTTCTTGAGCAATTGTGATGTCCTTAAAATAATTATCATCATAATGCATTAGTCACCTGAAGGTACTCTGCAAGGTCAAAGTTTGTCTTGAGGCCTCCCATTTTGACCAAGAAGAACCACAGGTGAACGAGATAGATGCAGTAAGTAAGCCTTGAGATTGGCCTCAGCGCCTTCCAGGCGAAAAACCCGTTCAGGATACCTGGAAGTAAAAAATCAAGACCTGTATTTTACTATTTTTGACAAGCAGGTTGTACTAGAGTTTATGCATTTGTAGAAATTAACAAATTAACGACACGAAGGCGTTTTGAATATCTCCACTAAACGTGCAAAAAACTGAAAACAAATTTTTAAAATAGCTTCTTAGCATCAGAATAAATGGTTAAAAGTGTTGCGGTAGATTCATGGGAATTCTTAAAATTTGACGCACATTTTCATGCCATGAACTGAAACGCTTTCTAACAATTTTGTTTCATGCCATACAGCGCCTTTCGTGTCGCAGTTAAGGGCAAACACAAGAGATGTGAAGGTCTAAAGCGTACCCCCATGACCCGTCGCACATGCATACGACGGCCAAATAAGTGCTGCTGCCCAAATGAGTCGATGGAAACCACCGTAGACAGCGTTGATGACTTCATTTGGCAAATGGCCTCTGTTCCATGGGACTGTTACAAACATCACAAAGCTCGCCAGTGCGATAGACAGCAACCACTGACTGGCCTGTATAACCTGGAATGCAAATTGCTGCTTAGAATTTTTAGTAATGAATAAACATAATTAATTGCAACCTTGCCTAGGGCCCGTCGCTGTTGCGCCTAAGTTAGCAAATAACGTTTTTAATTACCCCTTGTTTCGAAACCGAAAATAATGTAGGATATTAGTAAAAGAGAAAAGTAAGAGAGGGGAACAACTTAGGCATTAATTTTTTATTTGAAATAATAGTAATGATATATATATATATATATATATATATATATATATATATATATATATATATATATATATATATATAGCTTGGTGGCATAGGCCTATTAAAATCAAGCGCCTTAAAACAGTGCAATTCGGCTTCTAAAATGGAAACATGAGACTTATACTTACAGGATGAATAGTTGATTTTTTATGATCCAGTGCCAAGTACCCTGCAATCAGTCCCAATATATACGTGCCTACATGGGTAAAGGGACGATAGTAGATAAACTCTAGTGACTGGAAGGTTTTCCTGAAAGAAAATGACATCTTTCGTGTACCAGTATTTCTGTGAAGCAATAGATGTCTCACGTCAAATCAGTAATATCGAATGACTCGTGTCAATTAATTGTTCTACATAGTAATGAGCTTCTTCTCTCGTACATTAGCAGAGACACTCACTTCTGGTCGTTTGTTCCCAAAGTCATTGAGTATGCTATGTCCCAGAAATATATTTGTAGCGTCGTCAGCACGCAGAACACCAGGGCAACGACGCATGATACAGCAAACGCAGTTTTGGGATGTCTGTAAATGAATGGACGCGTTTAGCATAAAGCGCCTCAGCACATCAGCTAAGCTTATGTCCTGTAAAAATAATGAACTAAACACTTACCTGATGAAAAGCAATGTCAGTGGCAGTGCTATTACCAAAAAGATCTGCATGTCAGCGCTGACGTACCACAGATGCTGGAGACACTGTAAAATATTAAAGAGATTTAGAAAATACGGGGTTTTGTTTATTTATTGTTTCGCACATCCCGACATTATTTGCGGCTGCTTTATATTCGCAGAAGGCATAAATTGCAAACCTCAATGAAAATGCACAAGTAACATGCGGGCCTTCAGGAGATCACCCTTTATAATAGAAAGCTTCACTGAGAAGAATACAAGATATATCAAACAACCAAGTTGCAACAATATTACTTAACACTGTAGCGCAACGTAACTCTGCAAAAAAAGTGCCTTCCGTCGTGCGAAAACCAGACATTAGGTATTGTTAACTCGTAATTTACACGACCTTTCTGCGAAATTTCTGGTAGTTCTCGAACTCTTGTATCAACGAGAAAGAAACTAGTTTCCTTTAGGCGGCAACAGGGGTGCGCGACACACGTTTATATTTCTCAACGTCGCCTGCAAATATCGTATGCCTGCTTTTAGTGGTACCTTCTCTAGGCTACTCTACAGCTGTAGACAATAGTGAGAAGAAAAAGTACCTAACCTTGCCTGCCACAACGCATAAAAGCCGCTTAGGGAATCTCAAACTAATTTATTAATTAAACATATATGGTGACAGGGCGCTGAGTTCACTCCCGTCAAAAATAATTCTGTGTCTTTGTTATTAAGGCACGTCGGTACCGAGGTGGGCTTCTATGTGAAACTAACCCAGCAGTGTATCGACCCCTGGTGAGTAGGAACGACACCGTAGAAAGCAGGACAGAGTATGACAATGAATGTATGGTTGTTCCCCCACCACTCAGTAATTCTATCAAATGTTGACATATATGTTTTTCAGTTTACAGCAACGTGAATTTTAGTGCTACCTTCTCTAGGTAATTGAAAAAAAAAAAAACACCACAAATATTCAACATAAAACGCTCGTAATAGTTTCAATGAGTATCTAATGTTCTCACCATATTGTTCATGGGGTTGAAATTGTTGACGTGAAGAAATACTGTCCACCACCTGTTGATGCAACCGTTAATTTCGCTGGCAAAAAAGTCCTGGTCTGCCGGCCCGTCTACCAGCAGGGGCAAGAGGAATGTGCACAAAATGACCCCTATAATTGGAAAAGTAAGCCTAAAGATAAAAAGGTTAATTCATTAGTAATGAATAAAACCTTGACATGTTCACGTACGTATTAAAAAAAGCAAATTATTATGTTATTGCTCACATGATATATCCCTTGAACGATCGATTTCCCTACATTGAAATATTTCTTACATAGACTAGTAGACGAGTACCACCATCCTTACCGCGATAAAACAGTTTGACCTAATTTGAAGATAAAATTGTCTTCGCGAGGAATAATTAAGTGTGCTCCAATATCACAGAGCGTCATAGTAGATTCTTCTTTGTAAACTAAACACGAAAAAAAAAAACACAAAAAAAGCATATATCTAAACGTGGCCCATGGTTAGACAATTGTGCTCGTCAGTATTTTAGTATTTCGATTTCCTCTCTCTGCTGCGTGTTTGAAGGTTGCAACGAACGCTGTTAAGTATTAATTCAAGTGAGGAAACAGATGATATATTGGCACGTACCTGAAATAACGTTTCGCTACACCAATAAAGAAAAGGACGACCAGTTTTTGCTTGAGTAACGCTTGACGAGCACTCAGTACGACGTGAGTAAGGGCAAATCCACTGAAAAATAACACGTAAAACATTTAGAGACAAAAACAAAGCTGAAGCAAACACTAGTCCGTCTTTGTCGTCGTACTGTCGTTTAGATTGTTTAAAAACACAGTTAATTCTGCGTTTTGCAAACTATCGACACATCGAGAAACGTCGTGACTACTCGCAATATCTTTTTTTTTACGCGCGCATGATTATTTTCTAAATGTCTTACTTCTTTCAGCCCCAAAAGTCTCTTTAAATCGAATCAGGTTGAAAAACAAATGGATTGATACAGAATGGAAGGTTGAGCTTGTTGATGACTAGGATACAAAAACAAAAGGGGTACATGGGCTAATACAAACAACACGAGCCGTGTCCCTTGTGTTGCCTTCCATGTCCCTCTTGTAGGCTGTATATGAGGCCCCTCTCTTTATTTTTAGAACACGTTTCAGTCAGAACTCTACGAAAAAAAATTTTAGATAGCAACAGAAATTTATTGTTTTATGTCGCGGGAAGTCACTGGTTGGTAAACGGTGATGTAGCTTCACTAGCTCCACCACGAAGCGGCTGTGTAAGTGATTAAATGCCTTACGAAACGGAAATGTTTCGAGAGCATGATCAAAAGATTATGAATATGTCACTTTCGTGTAGTTTAAGTTTGGCTTTATTCAATAAACCTTTGCAAAAATCGCCTACTGCGAGCTGCCATCTTTGTCTGCTGAACTGTGAAACGCCTTCTGAGCATGCGCCGTTGCTCTGCTGTGCGGTGCATCAGACGCTGCGCATATGTCCACAGCTCAGTGACTCAGCATTTTTCACTGGGGTGATGAGTGATGCAAAGGTCTACAGACTCAATTTGACTTTAAGAACGACCGCAGTACACGACTCCATCCGACGAAGCCAATCAAGCGGCTACAAAAATGCATCGCCATGGCGCTCATCGCCTTCGTGTGTTCTCGATTGCCGTCTAAATCAATCACGTATAGTGAATGGGCCGTGATCTTCATCTATTTTTTGTGCGTGATTGGATTAAATTTTTATTAGTGTTTGTTTCCTCTGGAGAGGGAAGGGGGGGGGGGGGAGGTGATGCCGGCAATTATATAGCTATGAAGGCTGATTGTTCGCGTTCTTTAGAAATAATCGGTTAGTGCTTGGAGTCTGACGTCTACTCGTTAACATTTGACTTTTGGCTAGACGGCAAAATGCAAGAAAAAAGGTTAGCTTGTACAGTAAACATTCGCTTACCTTAGAAAGAGGAACGTGGAAACGCTCAGGAATCCATTCGGAATCACCTGCGACGCTACTTTTCTGGTCACATCTCCGATGGTAAATACGCTATCTGAAACGGCACAAAAAATTCTGTCATTTGACACCTGTAAAACGTACAGAAGCCCGATTTTCATTCGCCTACACTAGATGTGAAGCCGGATTTCTAAGACGTGTCGTAATGTTCAGCGTTGAAGGAAAAAGCGCACAATCCCACGAATCATATCAGAAGTGAATAAGCAAAATATCAGCTCGAAGGTCTTTATCGAGCCTCATCTGCGGTGTTCAACCTTTATTTTAATCATCTGCTATACTATGTCTCATCCTACGATGGACTAAAGGCCAAAGCCGCGGGCCGCCAGTTGCTATCACGTTCCACGCTATACTATGACACGCTTAACATTGATAAGGGGTGGACGAATAATGCTGGAATCCAAAAGCGCCGCATCATTCCTATAGCTTCGAAGCTGCAAAAGAGCCTATATGTCGTGGCTTTCTTTGCGATGTAAAATTGTTGAGTCACTCAATGCTCTTCAATACGAACCACTGTCTACTCGTCCGCTCATCGGCGACCCGAGACGCGGGCACCAATACGTGCATCGAAACGAAATACCGCAGAATTTCTAAGTGGTTCGTGACTGGATCTGGCGGTCCATAGCTTTTGCTTTTAGTCCATTGTAAGATGAGACGAAGTATGAAACTCGGCGGGACGTTTGCGCCGTGCCTGTTTCTTGCACCGGTGTTGCGGTAACGTAAGAGAGTCGAACTCTGAGTGACTCTGATTAGAAAGATAGTGGGTAGACCTCAATGCTAGCTGCCTTGAGGTCTACCCACAATCCTTCCAATCGAACCAATCAGAGTTCGGCGTTTTAACGCCACCGCAACCCCTGCGCAAGAAGCAGATTACCTTGAGCTTCCCATAGTTACTGAGGATCTAAAATGTGCAGGGCCCGTCAACTCCTGAGCAGTTTATTATCGTTATTTTGCCAATACGAATGCGGCATTAGCCGATATAAACACCGAAGGACTAATTAGAAACCAAGAAGCCGGATTATTTTAGGCCAAGCCCTGCGTATCTTAAACTGTCGATAACTGTAGCGTATTTAAGGAAAGGTACGAGCATCAAAATAAGGCTGCACGAGTTAGGCTTGTGGTAAGATGGACATACAAACTTACGCGCAAATTCCAACTGAACCATGATGTAGGCATGTCCGTAGATGACCCAGAATATCAGGATCACTTTGAAGCCTCCAAGAAACAAGAGCGGCTTATTTTTCTCTGTGTTCTCAGTTCTCAGCAAGTGTCGCGTGTTGCTGATGGCCGAGAAAAAAAGCAGCATCTTGAGAGGTGTCCCAACTGGCATGGGGAAAAAAACGCGAGAAAGAGGATAAGCAACGCTATTTTATTAGTGAGGAGCAGGCTAAGCGTAGGTAAGAAACGTACTAAAAAAAGTGGAAAATTAAAATAGATCTATGGGCGCTTGTATATTCCGCGTTCTGGAAAATGTGTATTTTGGGCCGAATGAAAACAGGTCATTAGGAAGGGGTAGCATTTAATTACATTTATAGCGTGTGCCAATTAACATACAATAAGCTAAAACGCCACAACCAAGCGCTCTAAGTGAATGGGAACAACTGTACGTTGCGTTGTTTGTTAGCAAGCGTGTTGGTAAGGTGCTACTATATTTATTAAGCATGGTGTCCCAAGCAAACTTTCCGCGTAAAACGAGCTGGAAAAATCGGCACCTGCACATGGAATGCTCAAACGTTCACCTGATAAGTGTACACTTATCAGGGGCCCTAATCTGGACATTCGGCGAGAAAGTCGGCGAGAAATCTGGTAGCCGTGATTGGCCAACGCCGCACTTGACCTTGGCACCGGCCAATCATAGCCGCCAGATTTCTTGCCGACTTTTCCGCCAAGTGTCCAGATTAGGGCCCCAGTTCAGATTTATCCTGTGAAATTTCATGGCACAGTTCTCTTTTTGTAAAAAATGAGAGAAAGAAACTTCCCAAAGTCACGCTAACTCGGTCGTCTCTAAACACGTGAAACCTTGACCTTGGTAATGTTTTTGTTCTCACTTTTTACAAGAATAAAAACTGCACTTTGCAATTTCGCAAGGTAAAAATGACGTGCTCAGTGAACATTCATTGAAAGTTTGAGCTCTCTACGTGCAGGCGCAGTTTTTGCCGGCTCGTTTTACAGCGGGAGGTCCGCTTTTGACACTCTATACAGTCACACTAATTAACCCTAACATTGTTTGAAAAGCCCATGTACCCGTTGACATGTCGCAGGCCGCCTTAAAAAACACCCGAATAAGACATTTCTGGGCTTCTTTTTGTCCGATGTGTATATATATATATATATATAAAGATCTAAAAGTGTTACCACATGACAAGATGCCCACTGCGCCAGCGGCTCGGGGGCGCATTGTCACGTGGTATTTTCTAAACATTTATTTTGTTCCCAAAGACATGGAGTGAAGCCCACCATTTACTCAGAGTTCCTTTTTCATTGCGTTCAAACAACTTACAAAGATAGTTTTGAGTGTGTCTCTAACGCTCGAGAAAACAGAAATTACAGAAATAGGAATATGAAAAGGTGTCGGATAGCGGCGTATGACTTGAAAGGAAGAAAAACAATATGACGTTAGTTCTTACGTGTTGGCCTTTTTACTATTGAAGTGCCATCATTCCGTAAAATATTTCAGATATATTATGCGGCGTCTCTAGCGCTAATAAAAAGCTACTTTCCAAGTATACAAATGCTTTATCATTTTTGATGTGCAATTATAGAGATTTACAATAGGGCGCCCGAAAGTTTGTGCGCCTCAAAAAATTAGGGGCTCGCCAATGCGTATGAGCTAAACCTAAATTGCGTTTTAGATTTTGAGCTTGCGCTCGCTGCTAACGTAAAATTCGAGAAATAGCATGGTTCCCCTATTTGCTTTGGACCGGGTTTGCGTCTGTAAACATGGCGGCGCCCTTTCCGCTCACTTTGGAGCAAATTCGTCATATGTCGCTGCCGTAATTAGTCACGTTCATCGACAGGGAATGGCGCAACCGACTTTCCCTTCGCTTTATCTCGCTCAAATCGCAAGGAATGAGCGGTGAGCTCGTCCCATTTTAAAAATCGTCGTCTGAGTCTGGCCGTTTCTAAACCCAAATAGAGGCGGTAACCGTAGAGATGGTCTGGCTACTCCGAGAGTCCAAGTACTATTTCTGGGCTCAATCGGCCGAGTGTTCGTGGCACGTATCTTGTATTTTAAAAAGCAAGTCTTCCAAGGCTACCCAGTCGCCCCAGCTCAGATCTAAATAAATCAGCTGCTTCCGGAGTTTGCTCGCCCGCGTTCGTCTCACTTTCGGCATAGTTAAAGGCCGAAATCTTCGACGATGCGGCACGCGAACGCCAAAACCAATTCGAGAACGAGCGTCAAATTAAGGCGCTACGGATTGGATTGTTTAGGCTAAAAACAGTTAACCATATTTACGCTGTCTTTAGATTGTGTTTTGTTTTAGACGGATTGATTTAGTTTTACTTTAACTATTCGTTGTAAACAAAAACACTTTTCAAGCGCATATGTGTTATGCTTTTTTATATTTTTCTTTTATGAATATTACGTTTGTCAGCCGCATTGGCGCTGTAAGTGGGAAACGCAAGCGCGCCGCGCCCGAAAACACTTTTTTTTTCTATAAGCCGGTGGCACCGACCTTCTTGCGTTTGGGTCCCCCAGTTTCTTAGGGGCACCCAAACATTGAGGCCTCCGATTATAAAACTTTATAATAAGTCTCTCAGATTCAAGGCGCCTTAATCTGGCAAAGCCCTGTGGACAAAACATTTATATATTCGATATTAGGTTGTGTGTTGCCTGCCGCTTTAATGGTCTATCAGTACTATGGAACCTCGGAGTAATGACTTCCGAAGAAGGTAGAAGGGAAGCTGATTCAAGCAGTGAGAGTCCCCCTTTCTTGTGTGGTTTTATAAACCTGAATATGGTGAATCACATCATGCGGGTGTGAGTGGAGGAGGGCAGACATGCGCCACCGGATATTTGCCTTCCGAACAGTTTAACCGAAATAGCGAGAAAGACCCTTTGAGTAACAATCAATTAAAACTTGTTGTTGGCCTAGTTGGTTCATGATGCAGTATAAAGGTTGTTTTTTTTTGCGCGACACAGGGGACAATTACAAGCGCTTGTCCTTTTGCGCTTGTCCGTGTCTACTCGCTTGTATTTGTCCCCTGTGTCGCGCAAAAAAAAAACCTCTATACAGTAACAATCAACTTGACAGTTTTCACAAACCACCGTTTAATAAAGCTTATGTTATATTCCTTACTTTAGGAATATTTCTTAGATATTTCTTTTTGTTTTTGCTGAAGCTGGAGAGAAACAATATTCACCTTTAAATTTCTCGTCTCCTCCTGTTCTTCGTTCAATTGTCCATTCTGCGACAGTTGCAATAGCTACTATGAAGCATATGGTACCAAGAATAGCCCTGCAATAAATAAACAAGAATATATCAACATGCGTCACAACAAGCAAATACAACGGTCACTTGTACCAAACAGATTTCAGTTTGAACATTAATCATTTGTTTTCTTACATTGAAGTTGCTTGAAGTACAGTAACTTTCTTTGGATCATCTGTCCGGCAGCCTGTGACTGTACCATTTATGCCATATTGGCCGAGAACTGCAAAAAGAAGCTTAAATTAGGTCGTTGAACTTTCTTGCTGAACGTTTCAAGTTTGCTTCTGGGGACATTCGCTGCAATTAGCCAGGTGTTTACAATATTAAAAACAAAATACGAACAGTACTTTGGTAAAACAGAAGTATATGTCTAATAATTATTCGAACGCGATTTTAAGACAGTTCAAAAGATATTTACGGGATATATTGAGAAAAAAAAAAGTTTAATGTGCCAGCGAGCTGGGGGAAGTTTACCATTGTGATATTATTCCGAGACTTGGGCAGAAGAAGGGAAAAAGCCTACAGTGGTAGAAAAAAAAATATTGACATATGTTGGTACGCGATTTAGCGTCTGATCGATCTTTCGTTTCATGCTGATGTTACTTCGATGATCTTTTAAATTATTTCTAAGGCGAGTTTTGAAATTAGGTCCTGGCTTTTGAGATGTCCGAAATTGTCCACTGATGCTTCCGGACCGCGCAAAAAAATCTAATCTAAGAAATAGTTGTAGGTGTGTTAGTTTACCTTTGGACATAAAACGATTTAGATCAAGCGTGGTGCAAGTTGACGGCGTACACAATCCGGTCCGAAAATCTTGGGCAGCAAACTTGGCATTCGTGGTTCTCGTGAGCGGATTGAATCGACCCTAGAAGATGAAACGCATACACATACGGGTATATTACAGAGGCTCTCACACTATGGCCCGACGGAGCCAATCAAGCTGCAACGAAATTTAAGCGTCACAGTTCTCGTCTTGTTTGTGCTTGCTTCATCACCGACTGAACCAACGAGACACGGAAAAAGCGCAGCGGTCTTTGGTTTAGCCGTTACTAGCAGACCCACAAGGACAAACTATCGCCTACCGCGTGACTTTCGATGCTGCTCGATCGGATCCGTGGGTTAAGTAAATATTTACCGTGAGTTCTCCGATAGCTTGGAACCTTGTAACGAGCCGTTCGAGCCGCTCCTTGTTTGGGACGATGTGCAGGGAGCAGTACTGACCCTTAAAGCTGACTTTATTGAGCTGGTTGTAAGCTCTCGTCTTGAGACACTGTTCGTAGGAGCCGAGGTTCACGACACTGCCTTCCAGGACGTTGTTTGGGATGAGCCCATTGGACAACACCACTGCATAGACAGAATAAGAGACACGATTTTATTTGGGTGACATACGCTGAGGTTATGTACCGTGAAGAGGTAGTCAGGACGCTTAATGTAGCCGTATTAGACGCGTTACAAATAAGACATTGTTGCAATATATCGAATTAGGCTGGATCGCCGCGTCTTCGCCTTTTGTATCCAGGGATAACAATAATAAAAAAATATACTGAATATAGCCAAAAAAAAAGATAAAAAATAAGGTAAAAAACTTAAGGACGATAGCAGTTTTTCCCCACCTTACCTTGAATCTACGTTTTGTTATTTTCCGTATACATAAATGTGATATAAGGCCATATAGAAAATGGTGTATATAAGGTCCTATAATGCCAGGGATATAGCATGCATGATTACATACGACCTCACTTGCCCGATTTTTTCTATGGCCACATGTGGCGGTAGACGGCATTTCTGAACGTGTTTCACAACCTTGAGCGCACGAACAGCCTCACAACGTTCGTCAGTCGTCGGTACAGTTCGCGTATCGCCACTACACGTCGCCTGTTCATTCGTTCCGGTTTTAATACCATGAGGTCCAGTTAGACAACATAGTCGCGCACATGGCGTGACATTATAATGCCCCCTGCTCAGAGCGCCTCATTAAGACATGGAAGGTTGTTTCGTCGTGCGGGCTGCATAGATGGCATGTGTCGTCTAGCCTTGCAGTGTACTTGGTCCTGAAGTGGGGTGTTCGTAATACTTCACTCCGCGTCTCGCGTACAAGCTGACTCCTTAGCGAGTTGGCGAAAAACTCTCGAAAGCAATTTGGAATGTAACGAACATATTATTTAAAGAGTGTTCTTTGGGAGTAGGTCCATGTTCTTCAAGTAGGCACTTCATCTAAAACCAGCAAATAGTTGCCCTACTAAAATACTCTTTATTAGAGGCCGTTACAACCCACAGCGTTATTCCCGTTTGAAGCGTGTAAATCAAACAGTTAAACAAAACAGAACAAATTTGTCCCCTGCATTTGAACACGCAACCGGAGGACTGAAGTTAGAAAACTGAACTTGATTACAACCATTTTGGAATAATGCGCCATTATTTCGGAGTATTCGCACAAAGAAATCTACTCCATACATCAGTCCCGAAATGTTCGAGCATATTTTGCCCTTTGAGAACTTGCGTTGCTTACGACGCCAGTTGTTTTGTTATTGGCGCGCAGCCCAAAGTGATAGTCGCCACAATGGCGCACATCTCTTTAGAATCATGACGCAAATTATAATGCGCGTACAGGTTGCGCAAGAAATTTGACGTCACATCTGTGAAATTATCTTTTGTCGGTAGCCCCTGGCTCCATCTACGGTGTTGGGCCATTGCCATGGAGATGGTTGTAGAGGCAACAGCGGTGTGAGAAACAATAAACAAATATATAAGGAAATAATTAGAAACAGGTAAATTATAGTTCATAGGTAGGGCATATATCTCGACCTAGTGAGAAAGGAAATTGTGAGTTACTTTGGAGGTCATTATTTCAGTCTATAGATTATCTTACGTGAGGAGCCTAAACCACGCTGAAACTACCTCCACTCATTCTAAGAGGCAAAATACCATGGTGGTGCAAAAGGGTAAGATAGATTAGCGTTAAGGGCTCTTCGGATGATCCTCTTCCCCTTAAATTTAGACAAGCAAAAAGAGACGGCGACAAAAAAAAGAGACCCAGCAGGGTCATCGCAAAACAAATTTTGTGTTGTTAGCTTTTTTTAATATTTTTAGGGTTTAGTTTATGTGAAATTTTGTGTAATATTCAGCAGTTTTACTTCATCAAGTTTTTCCATCAAGTATAATGTGCCGACACTTCTTATCAAAAAAGCACGCTGCTAACATTCGTAATAAACTATTGTATAGTGTTGCGCGTATAATTTAATAAATATAATGACAAGTATTCTCCGACAAGCTAATAAATCCTAAGAAATTTGAACCAGCGGGACGGGTTCCATTATACAGACATTTCGGGAACGACTAATTACGAAACGTTTTTTTTTTTTTTTAATAAGGCCTTTGCTACTGTCGGGACTCTTTCTTACGTATAGTTTAGGCTATATGATGAGATACATATGCTTAACCACAGAGGAACACTAAATAAATTGTGTGATATAGATGGTTGTATGAAAATGCCTGCATAAAATATGACACCCTGATTGCTGTTTGCTAATTCTCTCTTTTAATGTCAATTTCCGTCATACAAATACCTATGAAGTATTATGATGTTTTCATTTAAATAACATATAACTTCACATTTATAACGCGTTTGTTGGGTATTGGCGACCATATGTTTCAGTGGTGCCACCTTGCGGGCGCCCTCCTGTGACGAAGCTGGTGAAATGCGAGCGGACGACGCGCTATGCCAAAGCCCGGTGTGGCTATGTTAGTTCGCATGTATGCATGCCGATTTAAAATGGTTCATTTATTAAAAAAATAAAGTAATACGTCTGACGTTTTTGTGAGTGATCCTTCTACTAAATAATAAAGCCTCAAAATTGCTCTTTAAATTAAAAAAAAACTTTAAATAGTTCAAAAAACAAGCTTAGAGCTTCACTATACAGCTTGCGCGCCGTGTGTCAGTGCAAAGTTCATGTGAGTGGAAATTCATTATTACACAGCAAAGTTTTTCCACGACAGTTCTCAAAATGATAGTCGGGGTAGTATTATTTATATTTATGTAAAATCATAGGTGAAAGCCATGTTCTTGGCATTTGCATCCACCTATGTGTGAATGCCGTAGCTATTTTTTTCCGAAGATATAACATTGAGGAGCCCGAGGCGTGGACTTTGTCAATGTTTTACCATGGTACTTTGCATATCCCTTAAATTCACAACAAACCAAGCAGGTATAGAGATATTTTGTTCCATTCATTTCATGAAAAGTTTAATGCGTGTACATGGAATACTAAAAGTTACAGTTAAACTTTTACGAAAAAAAAAAGAAATAGAAGAAACCACCAGCATGTCATTAAAGACAAATTAAAAATGTTTTAGTGTCAAACTAATGTATGCGTATATGAAACCTTACAAAATATATAGAAATACGCATTTTAAGTGCATTTTAGATATATTAGAAATATTTGACTTGTCAGTATTGTAGTTTTGTTATTAGCGCGAAGACGAAGCTGATTTTATTAAATACAGCATAAATCCACGCCCATGTTAAAAACAAAAAATATCTTACATTTTTAAAGGTTTTCTTAATAATATGTAGTGACTTTAAATAGCTTGTGACGGGAAAACAATGAATTACATATGGCCTCCAAAAGAGATCGTTCACAGTGACAGAACAAACTTTCGCTCAAATTGAGCTAGCTGGTCTTCGTTAGGGTGGCTTTGCCGCACGACGTCGGTTTTAATTAGATTGTTTTTCTAAAACTGGCAACGGTTGTAAGCGGTGCCGCTCCATCGTAGAGTGTTGAAAGTCATGCTGCGCCTAGGTAAGTTTTATCTATGTGTTTTCTTGAGCTGCCTCCTCCTCCCCCCCCCCCCCCTCTTAAAAACGCTTCCGAATGCGTATGCCTTACAGCTTTTTAATTTGGATTTAGTATGTTTCGACTATGACCAGCAAGGTTCTGATAGGAATCAAGTCTTTAAATTTAGTGATTACAAAGTTAAATGCTGAAAAGTAATTATTGCCTCAATTATTCCGAACGCTGTAATCCTTTTCCTATATGGGCACTTTTGCAGACACCAATACGACTTCAACACTTGTTTTTTAATTCTGTGTGGTACGAAAGTTCTACTGGAACGATTTCACTCGTGTTTTGAGAAACGCCCCGTAAAGTATAGCTTTGCGCTCCTTCCAAGGACACGATTTTCATGGAGTGGTGGTTTAGAGAAATATGAAAAAAATATGTCCCGGACCTTCGGACGACCATTGTTTAAACAAAATAAAAATACGCAACCGTAAAAAAGATTTTTTTTAGCTTATTAATTTTTGTCTGTATTTCGTGTTTGGTATGCATCGATGCTTATAAATGGTAAGGCCGTGTTGCGTGTTTGCCATCAAACAATGTTGGACACCAAGATTCCTACGCTCCAGTTTCCACTGCGCCGCCTTGTTTTCGCAGTGGCAGACTTGCCCCGTGTGCGGGCTTTGGGTTTCACGTTAATTTGTTATGCGCATAGTACGAAACTGCCGGCAGCAGTGGCGTACGCCAACACGCAGAAGGCCAGTGGGGTTTGGGGGGGGGGGGGGGGGGGATTGTTTTAGGAGGCAACGCACATGAATGCAAAATATATAACCAAGCTAGGGAGAGCATGAGTTTCTATGCTTTACGAAAGAGCAACACCAATTAGGATAGATAACTAGGCATGATGGTGAGAGTTCATGTTGAAAAAACAGCGCACCAGGGACAAGGACAAAAATACGAAGAGAACAAAAGACAAGGGTTGACTAACAACTGGTTTGTTAATACAACACAAGGAAGAAAGAAAAAAAAGGACAACAAAGAAAACATGGAGTCGAATGTTCGCGCTCTTGCTGGGCGCCTTTTGGAATATGTTCCCTTCTATATTTATCTCAAACGATCTCTTAAAGCTGAATGTAGAAACTCATTTTTTTTTCTTTTCTGACTTAGGTGTTTTTGTTATCCTAAATCTAGAAAGTTGATCTCGCTGGGGGTCAGAGTCAACGCAGGTTGGCTCACACACGAGCTGTTGTTCTTTGCGGTGTTTTAAGCTTCAATCATTTCTCGAGATGCTTGGTTGTGGTGTTGATATAATACATTTGTGTCATTGAAGCGTAGTTCGCACCCGCAATCTTGGCACTGTATCGCTAAATGTGAATAAGCGGTATCCCTTTCAAGGAGCTATGGTGCTATCTGAGTCGGATGTTTAAGCACCGGCCAGACTGTCCGATTTAAGAGCGCATACCCTTCTCTTGTGGGCGCTCTTATACCGGTGCTTAAGCATCCGAAATAGAGAGCACATTTCGTATAAAAAATACCGCCACCCGTTGAAAATACAAGCCTACGATTCTCATTACCAGATAGGGTTGATAATATTTAACTTATCACTGAACGTAAGAGGGATATTTTAGTTTTGATTCAGTACCCCTTGAAAAAAAAAAAAAAAAACACGAAAATCTGCACTTACTTCGAATTGCCCAAGCATCCTTGTTCTTGAGCGCAAAGTAGATCTTCAGCAAACTCGCGGAACACGGAATGCTGAGTTCCGGGCCCGAGATCTGATCCGTGACTGCGGGCATAAATTTTGAGGCGAGCACTTTGAGCACATCACCGAGATCCGCTTCCAAGCTCTTCGTAGTCACCTCTTCTTCGGCAGACGTGCAAAAACCCGGCACAATTGCAAGACACAAAATAAATACTAGCGAACTTGAACCCATGACTAGAGTATGTTTAAATGTTTAAGCGTTTCTCTAGACCCAAACGGAAAAGATAAAACCACCCTGGCCGCGCTCTACTTGATGCCCGTTTCAAATGCTACAGTTCTCGAGGTGCGGAAGGCTTGTACCGGAGCGCTCCGCCCCTTTTCCACCGTAACGACGGGGACGCATGAAGAGCATTTTTAATTACCGGGGAGCCCGCGTACCCTTGGGGAATCCAACGGCCATGACCTCGCTCTTCCGCTTTCCCCCGAAGCACCTTTAAACATTGGAGCCTCTTTCTTCGCGGTCAAGCTGGTTATGACGTGCGTAACCCCCTCCTACGATCGCATTTCCTCCACCAAAAACCCTCTCTCATTCCGACGTCATGGACACGGAACACAACGTAAGAGCTGGACTTCGATGGCGTCCTTTGCGGAGCAGCAACAATATATATTTATATATTTGTTTTTAACTTTCAAGCAATGCTTTGTTTTTGTTTCGGGCGCCGCGCTTTAGCCTGCTTTCAGGTTTTCACTGCCTACGTATGTCTCTCAAATTTGTAATTAAGTTGATAGACTATCTTAAACCTGCAAGCACGCATGCATGCATACTGGTTTAAAGTAAGGTGATAATAGGCATGATTTCCTGAAAGGTCAAGGCTTTGACTTTTCAGGAAATTAACCATACCCATAGTGACTCGAGTTTGGTTAATTGAATATGTGTGATACGCATTGATTCATTGTTTTCTTCAAAAGTTACGCTGAATTAGTTTCAAATTAAGTTATTTCAGTTGTTAAGGATGCTGGAACGACCGCATGAATTGCTTTATAAATTCTTATCCTGAAGCAGCATATGCTTGTATTTTACTTCAGGACACCTACAAATAGATGACCCGACTTGTGGTACGCTAGAAGAGTACGCACATAAGGAGCCTATCTAGCGGACAGGAAGGGGAACAGAAAATACTTCTAACGCTGAAACGTTTCACGAACAATCAGTATCTACTTTTTTATTCTTGACAGTTTTTCATTTCTTCGCTATGAGAACGAACGCAAAAACAAATATTTTTTTAAATCCAAACATTTTAGCACACAAATATGCAGCAAAATGTGGTAATAATTTTGTCGACCGATTCTTGAAGTGAGCAGTGAACAACTCGCTTGTTTTAATTAAGTATTATTGCTGGGAAACTAGTTTTGTAAAACAAATCAAGTATAATATATTCTACAAACTTGCGCTCGCAATTCATATTCTATATGGAATATCACAATTATTTATGTCATGCGTTGAATAAAATACGAATAAAATGATTATCTATATCATACTTACAATGCAAAGCAGGAACAAAGCCTCTGGCAGTGGTTCGTAAAGTCATCCACAGGAAGAAGTGAGATTATTCTTTTCAGCTTCCAAATTTCTGTCTAACTTTTCATTTATTCTTTAAGTTAAGTCTTGCTAGGCTAGATATCGGTTGTTTGCACTTTTTTTTGTTTATTACAATAAATGCTATCCCGCGTTTATCCTCTCCGATGTAACGTCTTAATGCTTTTGTAATAACCGGCATGTTAAAGTTTAATTTTTTCAGTTCTGATAGGTAACCTTCGCTCTTTATGCGAGTTTAGGAAAGAAGCGTGAAAGCGCAAATGAGCTGGTATACATTCATAATTGTAAAATTACCCGAGACTGTGGTGACGACAGAAAAACGAGAGAAAGAGGGAAAGTTTAAAGAAATAAAGAAATAAGTTTAAGAAAAAAAAACATTACAGATTTGATTAACTTTATACACATGAGCATACTTTTATGCAGTAACTTTATATATATATATATATATATATATATATATATATATATATATATATATATATATATATATATATATATATATATATATTAGAGAACGAATAGCAAGTTTCCCCCAGCAAACTTGTTTATATCTTAGTGATGAAGTCATTTTTATATATGTTTATGTTTTATCTTGGTTCTTTTGAAGCTTTTGACGGCGAAATGAGACTAACATTGTGTGGACGAGTTTTTCCTGTTTGCTGTTTCCTCTACCTTGTTTAACCTGTAGTCAATGTTACTCATGTTATATCGCTAATTATGATTTGTTTTCTTTCATCTCGTGTGCGTACATTATTTCTAAGGCCTGCCTGCTGCTTCAGAGCGCAACGAAAAATAAATTTATTTGATTCGATCTAATTTATGCAAGCTTCTTCTCAGGTGTATTATTCAAAAGCGTTCACTTATATATATATATATATTTGCCGTTATCAATTAAAAAAAAAAAAAAAAAAAAACCGTGTCTAAGGTTCGTAGAATCCCGATTTAAAAAAACGACAGAGATGCCAGTGCAGCAAAATATACAGCGAACCTGGGATATTCGGACTTTCCCGACCTTTGGGAGTGTCGAGAGTTTCCAAGACCGGTTTCGCGGAAACGTCCCCTTGCAACTGCCGTTCAACCCTTTCGCTCTTCTTCGCTGACCGGTCGCTAGCTTGAAAGCTGCGTTTCCCTTTCCCGTTGTTTCTCTTCCGGTTTTTCGCTTTTTCTTTAATATGTTTGTTTTATTTTGCTTTTTTTTTTCTCTTCTTTTTTTTTAACGCTGAGTTGGTACGTAATCAAAGAGATTTCTCTTTTCTCTCCATTATGAATTAAAAGGGAAGTTCCCGACATTCGTATCCACTACGTAAACGTTTCGAGTAAAAACCAAAATCTCGGCAGGTACGCGTAAAGTAAATTACTTGGAACCCCTGCAAAGTTCTAGGAAACCGAACGAATTGATCTTTCAAAACATTGTATTAACTGATACACAATGTGCTCAAGGTCGTTTGAAATAGAGAACACTGAGAGCAGATATATTTGACCTTACCTTCTTTCGAACTGTCGGTTTGTAGGAACAAACAGTTTTGCTCGTCACCTTGATCAAACACACCGTCCTTGAACGAATTATATATGTTTTGTTTTGTTTTGTACAGTTGACTGAGTTTCTCCGTTCATTCGGGCGTAGTACATGTCTAGGTGAATATATTGGCACCGCAGCATTTTTGGGTATCGAGAGGTGAATAACAATCTTTCGTTCAAGGAATGAAAGCGTTTATGCTAAGGCCGAATCCGGTGGTGGCAAGCTGCCCGTTAGTATATTCCCTTTCACTTTTAAATCAGACTGCAACCGTCGCAGCGATTCAATGGAGTTAATCAAGCAGCACCAAAAATGCATCGTCACGGTAGTCTTCTTTGTGCGTTTGTTATCGGCAACTAAACCAAATCACACACAGTGAATATGTCGCGATTCTGCACTGTTTACTGTACGTTTAAGGTTTATGGATGATAGAAAAAATACAACAGAAAAGAACAACGTGTACCGTGATGTTGCATTTTAGTTGCTGCTTGATTGGCTGCATCAGATCTTAGGGTTAACTGCGGTCGGACGTATGGTGGTGAAGGGTATATCATAACAGTCTTGAACAGGCACGTGGCTAGCGGAGTATATGACCTGTACTGGCTACAAGTTTTATTTTCCTTAGACCCAGATTCGTAGTTAAAAATATTGGCTGCGACCATTATCTCCAAACTCCTATCATGGATGGTATCCGGTATTTGAGAAGAGATCGGTGCACTTTCCTCAGAAGACATTAAACGATCGTTTCAGAAAGGGAGGAAGAACTTACTGTTTCTTAATTTCTCCTAAATTCTGCTGAGAAATTCACGGCCTTTACAATACTGTGTTGCGTTACACCACAGCTTGACATCGTGACGTCACGCCCCCTGGCCACGTCGAGCGACGTCAGCGCACGTGACGTCTATTTCCTCGTTGTATTTAGCGGGTAGACCTAATGGCTGTATAGGTCACGTGGCGTCGGGTCGCGTGATCTCAATTTCACAGCCCCACTTAGCGGGGAAACTCACGAACAGACGGACAGACAAAAATGTGGATTAGGGGGTTACACTAAAAAAACATTCCATGCTTTAAAATTATGACGTTCATTTTGCACAGTGGGCTTAATCTATTGAACATCAGAGGAATCGGAACTCTCCCAAATCTTTCGACACCATGTAGTGCCATTTCGCAGTCTTGAGCGTCTGAGCTCTGGCGCTGGTTGAAGCTTGTCTGGACAACAACAATTATAGGCATGGTTCTGATGGTAGGACTCAAATTAGGAGGCATGCTCGCGGTTGGCGAAACACTTCCGCGTTGTTGATATGAATGATGTAAGCAGAAGGGGATTCCCACTTGCTCCACTTTGGCTAGGCTCCATACGCGTGATTCTGTGTCGTAAACAACCACCGGTGTAGCCGGCTCGAAGTCTGGCAGTAAGCTTGTCGTTAACGATTGAAGTAAGGGGTCTTCGATTTCCTGGATCAGCCTTGTACTCCTTTGGGTGGGATGATATTGGTCCTCAAGTGGTTTGCTGGGACTGGCAAGAGCGTCCATGTCTGCCTTTCCATTAGCTTTTGTACTGGAGACCTCAGGTTATTTCTTGGGCCGTTATGTATTCTCAAATAAGGAGTAAAACTTCATATGAAGTTTGGAAGAGGAACTCGATAAGGAATTCCTTGGTTTCTTGGACAGCAAGCTGGGTCATTCCATTTAATTTGGAATAATACAGCCACATCCTGAACTTAGCAATGCAGCACTTATTTACAATGTCCTGGAAACATTAGGAGGTGTAAGGTGGTCTGCTGAAGAAATGTAATTTTACCACACATGCATGTGTTGTGAAAATGTCCATGCAAGATTTGGTACCCAGCCGCTGTCTTCTGTCAAAGCAGCTTGACATCGATGACTAAATAATATTCAACTAATAGTAAATGCAGTTTGCCATTGTAATAAAAGCACCCAGTTCCCTGGACTTAACACAGCAAACTGAGATCGTTAGATATGGTCATTGTAAAATTCCCATTTCCCGGCTTGAACTGCTGCAAACAGTATACCAGTTGGCTGACAGACGATGTTTTCTATTAGTTCCAATACTTCTTTCTGGTTCTTGCGCACTATTATGCGCCCACATGTGGCATCT